AATATCTCTTATGGGCTAATTGTTTCATGAATAGCTCACCTCACATATGCATACTACACATTAAGTCCATTAATGCTTTGAATTAGCTTCAGAAAGGGTAATACTCCACATAATTTATGCAGCCAAGGGCATTTTTACCTGCTGGCAAATTTACATATTTCCCAATGTCATTAGGTAAGAGCTAGTTATCAGAATAGCAGAGGGTACTATCATTAGTTAGTTGATTTATTTGGCTCCATCATTGTTAACATTAATTATAGTCTAAGTTATATTTAGCAATTGTTGCCCTTCTTGGATGGAACACTATATTACTATTTCAAAAACTATAATTTTTAAAGTCTACACCAGAATAAGATAGATGTTTTTTGAGACATTCTGGAAGTATTAGTATTTAAGACAGCTATATAGAAAATTGTTTGCATGATTCCAATTTGAACATTATACATTAATATGATAGAATATAAAGCCAATTGTTTAATTATTGGTCAAATCTATCAAATAAATTCTATTGAAAGGTATTTGATTATGCTGAATAGCTATGAAAATATAATGAAATCTCCTTTCAGACATAATTATCTGACCAACTTTGTTCCCTGGATCATTTTTTCCTCACTCTTGAGGTGGGCCTTTTCATTAGTTTCCCCTTTAAAAGAAACAAAAAATAGCAAGCACTGTACATGGTCATCTTGTAATTATTTAGTAAGTTTTAGTCATGCTAAAACTGTACACTTAAACACAGACCTATTAAGTAGAATTGCCATAATTTAGATGGCTATAAACACACATCATGCTGTAATAAAAAAGATACCCACGTTGGTGTTTGCCAACCTGATCCATATGGCAGGAAGAGATCTGTAAGACAATACAGTTTATAAAATCAAGTTCCCTAAAGCCTAGCTAGCAAGTTTAGCATCCTTCATAAACAGTGATTTACCCTTACAGATGTTTGCATATGAAATTATCAACTACTGAAGGTACTTTGGTAGGAAACACAATCTGTTCAGTGTCAAATCTAAGAAAATAACTATATCTGCATTTTTACTCTAGAAAGGATTTAATTGATAGTATGTTGATATCTTAAAGTAAATCTTGCTAGAAATAAATAAATCATACCACTGCAAAACAAATAATCATGGAACATCCATCCTTAGCTAGTAGCATTTAGTATATGCTACTCTCCTTGGCTTAGCTCTTGTAGAAATGATTACTGTAGGACCCATAAAACCCCGTGGAGCTTAGAAAAAAAGCTTCTGCTGCTGCTCATATTATTGCATATGAGCTGCTTAGGAATCCTTCATATGATACATAAATTGTAAGTCCAAAATGCCATCACTGGGGCCAGAATTATTATTATTTTTGATTTCTGTTTGTACTTGAGGGTAGCTTGATAAAAGCAGGAACACAGGCTGGGCTGCACTGAGCAGATTACTGCCTTGAAGTTTCTAATTTGTAAAACTTATAATAAGCAATAATATACTTGACAAGTAGTAAGAACATCTGAATTTATGCAACTTATTCTATGGGAGAAGGGCAATCTGGAAGAAAAGTGCTGTAAGTTGGTTTGTTTGAAATTCTGCTTGAAATTATTTTGACAGAATTGAATTTGTACAAATTAAGGAAACAACAAAAGCTGAAATGAACTGTTGGTTGATGCCATAATTATAAAGTGAACTGGAACTTGTGAATTGTGGATGGATTCAGGTAAACCAATAGGAACAGAAGGAATGCATGACATATCATTGCCAGAGACCTGGGGGCAAATTACTTAACCTCTCTGGGTTTCACCATTTCCTGTTCTGTAAAATGTGATTAATAATACAATGTGTTAAGGCTGTTCTGAAGGGAAAATGATATAATGTGTTTAAGTACTCTGCCTGGCATACAGTAAGTGGCACATTACTGGTATTTCTTTTATTAGTAGCAGTAAGAAAGAATTAATTCCCCAAATCTGCTCAAAGTATGTTGGTTTGCTGGTATTCTTAGTCAAAGTTTGTAAAAGAAGTCAGGCAATGCCTGAAGCATTTGATTACAGGTCTTATTTTTTCCAGTTTTATTGAGAAATAATTGACATACATCACTGTATAAGTTCAAGGAGTATATAACATGATAGTTTGACTTACATATATTGTGAAATAATTACCACAATAGGAAAAAATGTTCTTGTGATGAAAACTCACAATATTTAGTCTCTTAACAATTTTCCTATATACTACACAGTAATGGTACCTATAGTCATCATGTTTTACACACACACACACACACACACACACACACACACACACACACACACACAAACTGGTTTGAATTTGAACAGCATTTTGAAAAAAGGAGGCCAAAATGAAATGTATTAGGCAGAAGTATTTCCATTGCCTGGGCACTGGTGGGTTGAGAGTTGGTAGAGAGGTCGTTTGTGTTGTCCTTGGTTAATATAAGAAGTTTGTCCCTATGTGAGATGAAGTAGGTCTGCATGCATTTGTCTTTGCTGCTGTAGAGGGGGAAAAGTGGGGAATTAGGGAGGCTGGAAGTGTTGGGAAAGCAAACATACTGAGATCTCCATGTTACATATGCACAGTGTACATAAAGTGTGTACACTTTAAAGAATACTTCACTGTAGTTAGATGGTGGGGTGGAAAGGTGAATATCCCATTTCCTAGATGAAAAGTCACACAGTGATGAGCAACTGAAGGCCAGCTCTTCCTGTCCCTGGGTTCCTTCCTCTACTTGCTCTTGACTCTGCTTAGTTTGAAAAGCAATGAGGGGGTTAGAGAGAGTTAGAGATAAAGAGAAAAGGTACTCCCTCCAAGAAGGAGGTAGATGGGGAGCAAAGTGGCAGATTTATTGTGGACTCCAAGGCCCATAAGCAAATAGGAATATGCATGTGTGATAACAAAAATATATAGCAAGAAGTCTATTGTTCCATGTAATGTGGTCTATAAAATTTAAGAATTAGTAATACAATTTGGGACATAAACTTCAGAAAACTTATTTTTATTCTAAGCATGGGAAATGAAATATGTCATTCTTCAATAAAAAAAAAAAAATCCCACTCATTATTGGTGTAGAAAAAGAATTCTAGCCCTGGCTAGTATGGCTCAGTTGGTTGAGCATTGTCCTGAGCACTTAAGGGTTCTTCCAATTCCTGGTCAGGGCACATGCCCAGGTTTCAGGCTCCATCCCCTGTAGGGGTGCGTATGGGAGGTAACCAATCAATGTTTCTCTGTCACATCGGCCTCTCTCTCTCTTCCTTTCTCTCTAAAATCAATAAAAACAGATAAAAAAGAATTCTGTATATCTATAGCCCCTCAAAAAAATTTAAAAAGACATTTCTTTAGATTCTCTTGTAAGAGCAACAGAAGAATGTTTGTTACTCTCTCAAAACAACCTGCTTCTTTTCTCTCCATGTTTAAGTGACATTCTGTTGTTTCTCTAAGTGGCTTCCCCAGCAGACTGGAGTTGCCAGCCCCTGACAGGTGTTCATCTGCTCCCCTCACTTAGTCACTCTGTAAGCCATGTAGGCACCCAGGCCAGGCTGCTCTTAAGTAAAGATTTCCATTGTGACAAATTAGGTGGTGATTTTTGAAATGGGTCCGGAATTCTTTTGGTAGTTAACAAAAGACTATTGACATCATTTAGAAAATAAAGACTACTGTAGAGATTAGGGCAATATGTTTCTTTTAGGAAGGCAGCTGACACACTAGTAAGGATTTGGTTTATATGGTATATCTGACCTTTGTCCACCCAATGGAAAGTGAACAGGTTCCCAGTACATCACACTTACAACACTGAACCACCCCACACTCAGACCCTCAGATCCCAGTATATCCCCAATTCAGATCATCTCATCTGTGATCAGAATGATAGGACTCTTTTGTAATAGTTAATAATAATGTGTGTTTTTTTAACTAAAAAATTATATGAATATCCACAAAAAGGTGAAATCATGTGGCTATTCAATTTGATAGTAAATAGTTTTCTGCTCTTTATTATTCCTTTGACTGCATTTTCACAGGGTTGGCTTTTAACACTGGGTTGCTAAGAAGGCACTTAACAGGGGGAGTCTTAGAGGGAATTGCGGTGACTTTGGTAAGTGAGGAAAGGGGGTATGTGCAGAATTTTAACTGGCACACAGATTTTCTTTCCCCGATGAAAGTCCTACATGGTTTTCTTGTGGCCATACTGATAATCATTTATCATAATAACGAGCAATTATATACCACTTGGCAGCTTATAAGGGAATTAGGACAGGTATTATTGTACTCTTTTACAGACAAGAAAGAGTGATTCAGAAAGATGAAATAATCTGCCCAGATCATAGAAATGACAAATGGTAGAGGCAGGATTGGACCTCTCTTCCATGAATCTTATTTTTCATGTACCATATTGCCTTATGATGCCAAAAGCCACAAACAGGAGATACATTTTTCTGGCTTGGCTTTGGTTTTTCCTTTTGGCTAATCATTCACTTTGGGAGAGGTTATTGCCACCTTTTGTAAATTTGTGCTGCATCCATGCTATTCTCATGCACAAATTCACTCCCATCAGTATCATTTCCCATAACTTGCTATCATTTTTGTCTGTCTTCTTCTCCTCCTCCCATCCACACTTCCATATCTCATCCACTTATTATAGGCTACAATTTCCATAACCATGGGCCATCAATGGTATAGTGGGAGGCAAAAATGAGATCCCAGAAAGGAGAAAGGCAAAAATTTTGGGTAAGATGTTTGAATAGGGAAAGTTTCCTTAAAAAGGTGGTGAGTCCATCCAGACTCCAAAAGAAAGACCCATAAAGATGCAAGAATGGGACAGAAGGATGATGAGATTAGGAGACTAGTTTGATTAAGGGATGGACATGACAGGTAAGAAATGAGACATGAGGTATAAAACCAGAAGGGTCTTACATTATACTCCTGGAAACAGGACAGTAATTACTTTCAAACAGCTTAAGCAGATAGGTTGCTTCATTATTAAAAGACACAGAAATAAAAGTTTAAACTCACCCGCAAGATTTCTTCAACACAGCTTGGATCACTGGGAAGGCTCACCTAAAACAAAATAAACAGGAAAAAAATTAATCACAATCTAGTTACTTTCAGAGAAGTTTATTGCATACTATTTTTACTCTGTAGGAAAAATTATAAAGGAAGTAAATATAGCTGTCAATGTGTTTTTTCCTTATTTGTATTTACAAAGCAGTAAGTATCTGCAAATGGCCAATTTCATTTTACTTTAATGAAGCAGTAAGACCACAGTGCAAGGTGCAGAGAATGACTCATTCTGTCACCGATTTCCTGTGGGATGCTGAGCCATCCTTCCCCATTGTCCAGGTTTCACTTTGCACATCTATCCAAAGAAGGAGTTCAACTTCTAGATCTTTAAGGCCTCTTTGACTTTCTGACATAGTTTAGTGTGTTACTCATAATCATCACAGATTTTTAAAAGATGAGGCCTATATGAAACACTTCTATGATTAAATTAAGTTCTCTTTGAACTTATGAGTCCAACCAGATGCCTACAATTCTTATTGAAAACACTAAGGGTAAAACTCCTATGTAAATTGCATGCTTGCCTTGTCACTTAGAGAGACTCTTACAAATACACAAAGTTAATGTCGTGAGCCATCTTTTTCAGTATGACAATTTCCTAATCAGTAAAAATTCAATAAACTAGCAGAAATGTACCGAGGACCTGAAAGTTGGATAACCACCTGGAAAAAGATTCCCTGGGAATGATGTCACCTATGTAGGCTATGGGCATCCCCCCAACATTCTTAATTCTGTCCTTCACACCTTCATTCTGTCCAGGATTGCAATATGATCATTTCTATCTCCAGCTCTTGTAAAGAGATCATTTGTTCTCTTTGATTCAGAGCACTTCCACAGAATCTACGTGTTCCGGGCCTCTTACAGGGTACGTAAGTCATAACCCCTTAGTTATTCTGATACACTGGAGTATGAACATAACTATATTTCAGAAATTAGAGACTAGAATACGGATCCAGTTTCCCTCAACATTAAAAAATATATATTAAAATCATCAGCAAATCTTAAATAAGCATTAAAGTTGCTATTGTGAATGCATAAATTTCAGCTAATATTTATTGAATACCTTGTTCATATAAAGTTACCTGCTCCAAGTAGCATAAAATCCCTAGTGGGGGAGGCAGGCTAAGAAAGAGTCACCAACAAGTGGCCATCCAGACTGGGTTATCTTGGGATAATTAATTGAATGTGTCCTCTTTCTATCTCAAAAATGTCCCAGTTAGGATGATAAATTATACAGTCACCCTTCCAAGAACAATCATATTCTAATGCTGGGTAGAACAGTAGAAGGAAAGGTTAAAAAAGCTGCCTGGGCACACATCGTAAAGAACCTTAAATGCAGATTTTCAGTAAAGAACCATAGGTGCTTTGGTCTAGCGCAGTTCGTTTGTTCATTCATCCATTCATTCAACAAGTATTTTTTGAGGGCCAGGGGTTGTGTCACCAGACTTGCAGTAGACACAGATACAGTGGGAAGCAAAAGGAAACACAGTTTCTTCTCTCATTGAGTTTGCAGATTCAAGAGGAAGGCAGATATGAAGAATCACATAGTTAATGTACAACAGTAACTGTGGAAAGTGCTACAAAGGAGGTCATCTCCTGGATACTAGTTATTCAAGATGAAAGGTTCCATGTCCAAATAAGTGTGAGAAATGCTGCAAACTATCCATCTGTTGGAGATTCATGATGCAAATTAAAGGCTCTGTGCCACCTATCTAATTGGCTTAATGTAGAACTTTCCAACTTTCTTGACTGAATTCTTAGATTTTTAGTATTCATGGTCCCCTCCCCCCATTAACAATTACTACCATTGCACAGAATGAGTACTTATAGAACATATACTGGGAGATAGTGGTGTATTACAAGATTACAGAACTCAGCTGAGTATTCTTTACAACAAATAAAATCTCATTCCATTGTTCAGTGCTCCAGGAATTGTATTTTCCAAGAAAATCCTTAAACTTTTTAACAAATATCTTCCCCAAACACAAAAGTCAAAATGATTATAGCAAACTCTTCAATCTTTTATATCATTATTGCTTTGGATCAGTGTGGGCTGCCTAAGCTAAAAATGTATGGCCCTCTCTCATGAAGAGGTCTCTGTTCCCTTTTTCCCACACAAATGCATAAACATTAATTTTTAAATAAAGAGGAAAAATATCAGCAATGTGCAGACCCAGCAAAAACAGTTGCTTATCAGCCTAAAAAGTTGGGTGGGAGTTCTGGCCCTACCATTTGGGAGCAGGACTTTGTAACTTTACTCCTTGTCCTGTTGTTCTTCTTACTACTTTATTATTAAGTCCAGTCTTCTCATCTTTTCAAGGTAAGATTTGACTCACTCTTGTCAACTGCAAATATCATCTCTACACCTGGTATTATAATTATCTATTTCCTTATGGGGGAAATGTTGTTAAAATAGAAAGAGTTGTGGACTCTGGGGCTTTACAGCAAATTTAATAATGACGTTGGGGTCAGTAGCACTCAGGATTGGGAAGAACTCTACAGACAAGGGCAGCCAAATAAATATGCATCCACACGGAGTGTTCAGATTATTGTAAAGGAGTGTTCCAAATACTAGAATCGAGCATTCACATGGAGCCACTAGTTCCACAAACTCATGTAGCCCTGTCCTACAGCTGTTTTCACTGCCAGACAACTACATTTGAGCTGCCAGTGATTTTCCATCAGCAAGTGTTTTTGAGTTAATCAGTATTTCCTCAGTGCCTAGAACAGTGTGAGGCATTGTGGATTGCTAATACCAATAAGTGTGAAACTTGGACTCTTTCTTTCTGAGTTACATGTCTAGATGGGATGGAAAAACAATTAGAGGTCCACTGGGATATACATTGTAAGGTAATCCTGACAAAGATAATAGGATGGCATTCATTCACTTCACCTATTCAGTTCTCCCATTTATTTCTTTAGACAGAAAAATCCTGATTGAATTCACACTGTGCTCAGAATGGTGCCAAGAGGGAGGATTTAAAGAACTAAAGACAACATAATTTGTGCCTTCAAGACTCCACGCAAACTGGGGAGACAAACATTTACAAGGGAAACAGACAATACTGAGAATACCATACAGGAGGTCTGATTTAGGTGTTTGGGAGAGGGTACCTACCGAGTTTACGGAGAGAGTCATGTCCGGCAGAAGCTCCCAGCTGCCTAGTTCCTGACTATAGTCCTCACTCCATATAGGAGTGAGAGGACAAGGACTTGACATGGCCGAGAAGTGGTGGGGCCACCTGAGGCCACTTCAGTCTCTGCTTCCTGAAGAGCTGCGCTGGGGGAAGAAAGCTGAACTGAGGCTAGGGCTCTGCCCAAATTTTGCCCAGTTGCACTTTCTCTCTCTCTCTCTCTCTCAGAGTGACACACCCCTCTCACAGTAATTCTGGAGTCACTTGGACAGGTGTGAAAGAAGACTGAGGAAGAGAGCTAGTGGTGACACTGGGGTTAGAACTGTTACTAGATGAGTAACCAAACTGCTGTTTGATTCCAAAGCCACCTACTCCTCTCTTTAAATCCTCTCATGAGTATTCAGATAGTCCACAAAGTGCAAGTTAGCCACTCAGAACTGCAGCATCTTTTTGCATTCCCCCTCTCCAATCCCTCTTCCTGGAGCAGAAAGCAAGCTGAATGCCACACAGGGAAGGCTGTGCTCTCCTCACTCTTGGCCCCAGAAAACCCTCTTGTGCTGGGCACAAATGTGGTCCTCTGAAGGCTGGGGCAGCAGGTGCACATCAGGCAGGTGGTGAGTTGACTGAGAGCCCTCACAAGTGCCTACCCTCTATGCATATGATAGTGTAGGCTGCCACCCCATGTAGCCACTGAGAGACCACACACAGATCATCTGCCTGGTAATAAATACATATCTTAGGAAATAATCAGGGAACTTTTAAATCATCAAATATTCAATTAACTGCAGCAACAATAAATGAATTGCATAGGATGGTTTAATCATTCTAGAATTAATCAGTTTAGAGCATACTTCTTGGCGATTAGGGTAATACAAGATATCAAAAATACCCTGGCTGTGGCATTTAGAGTCATAAGCAGCAGCTAGCCCTAATACAAAACATTGAGATTAATATAAAACATTAAAAGAATAATAATCACCACATTGTTAACCCAGCAGAGCTCAATGCACACCTCTAAGTACATAATTATTAAGGGGTTGTGAGAGAAGATAGGTCATTTTTCCCCCTTAAAATCATCCTGATGTCGTCCCACAATACCTGGCAATGACTTCACAAAACAGGCTGACAACTCTGGGGGGGGGGCCTATAATGGGCCAGGGGAGGGTTGGGAGGATAGAGCTAAAATAAAATAAAAAAGAGAAAAACTCATGGGCATGGACAAAAGTGTGGTGATTGTAGGGGGAGAGAGGAGAAGTAGAAGAGGGTAAAGGGGGATAAATGGTGATGGAAGGAGACTTGATTTGGGGTGGTGAACACAATACATTGTACAGATGATGTATCATAGAATTCTGCACTTGAAACCTATATAATTTTGTTAACCAGTGTCACTCTAATAAATTCAACAAAAACAGGAAAAACTCAAAAGTTGCAAGTTTAATTGTCAATGAATGCTTGGATTTCCCTAAAAACTGCCAGTGACATATGGATAACACAAAATACTATGCTATTGGCCCAGTTAAATAACATCCATGACTGACACCCATGTGGCTTCTAAACTAATTCCATTTGTAGTTTCATTAACAAACTGCTACATTTATCCCCATGATTGGTTTATAACACATAGACCTCCCCTGACATGGCATTACTAATAAAATGAAAACTTAGGTTATATTATATTAATGAATGAGCTTTCTGTCCTTTCAATATTTTTAATCTGCATCATTGGTCATTTGTAAAAACAAGGTGCAGCAGCCTCAAAGGATTTATCTCCCCTCCCCATGCAGGGAGTCTACATTTTCCAGTTTGGAAAACTTCAAACCCAGTTCACATTAGGATCCTTCTGTCCCTTGCTTTCTGTCTTACCGT